GCCACTGAACGGAGCCTTCATTCCGCCGAGCCCTTTGCTGTAATAGCATTTGTGGCCATAGGGATTACCTTTTTTTAATTTAATTTTTTTTCTGCTTTAATATGCACAAGTCCGTTACAGAAAAAAAAAATCTTGACAAAGGAGTACTTAATGTTTGTTCTGCTAGTTTTGTGAGTCCCAAATGTTACGTTTAAGGATTCACTTTGATCAGATTGACACTGCAGTATGGAAAAGAGCTGTTTTAAGTGTTTACTTGATACACCTCTTGGGTTAATCCGACAATAGTTTCTCTGTATAGGCTATATATGTCTTTTATACCGTATTTGTCTGACTACTATACCATGGTGAACATGTATGTAATATTAGCAGGGTTTTCTAGTCCATTAAAATGTTTCTCAACAGAAATCGTTTTAATTTTCTAGAAAATGTTTCACTGGCCATACACGGGGGTCTTGTGGCTCATATGACCATGCGTCTTTTACACCAATCTTGATGTTGATGAATAGTGAGTGAGTCATAATGAGTGATGGCTACACCTAGCATTGGATGAAGAAATCTGACCTGCTAGAAAATTTATGACTTGTGCTTTACAGGTCAGGCAAAGTGCTGTCATTTGGACAGTTATGTTATGGATAGGTATAAAAAACATCTAAAATTGTCTTCTTAAAAAAACAAACAAAAGTATACAAATGATTTAAGTTGAAGTGCTAAAGCAAACCTGTTAATTACAAAGCAAGAGCACAGTGTCGTGCCTACAGCAATTGCAAATCACTTTATTTTATATTTACAAGGCATGTGTATAAAAGTGAGTGCTGTCATGTTTTAGTTTCTTTCTCCTCTTTTTTTTTTTTATATAAAGGTGAAAGCGTCATGGCTGTTATTCAGAACCTGGTGCTTCTATCCAGCGAATTAATAAAGTATGCAGGGCAGGGCTTCACTGGCTGCATGCTTGCTTCAAACCAGGGACTCCCTAGTTAAACTAGGTGCAGAATAACAGCTCTGGAGCTTGCACCTTTAGCCTAGGTTCACACTAGTGCTGCTACATAATCATGCATTTTCAGTGCATTTTGATACGTTTTTATGTGTCTTTTTTATGCCTTTATTTGTAGAAGACAGATTGTTAATCACAAAATAATGCCAAAAAGCACGTAGATGTATTTTTCATGCGCTCACACTGAACTCTACGGGGCCAAAAGGGCACAGTGTAGCATCAAAAAAGCACCTGCACCTTTTCAAAAATGTAATTACACTATAATATATTTCATTACACTATAAAAAAATGTATTACATAATATTGCATTGATATGAACGGGACCCATAAAGGAAAATGTGATTTCCATTGTTGTACCCTGCAAATCACAGTAGTGTGATCAAGGATTTAAAAAGAAGTCAGCAATGGCAACTTTTATATTTTAGTCCCTTTAAGGCTAAGTTCACACCTATGCATTTGCAGTTGATGCATTTTAGAGGCCTATTGCTGGTGTGTTTGTGTGCTTTTGATGCATGAGGTGTCTGTTGTCATGCAGTAAAACAAACAAAAAATGCATGGGCATGTTCATTTTTGATGTGCCAAAATCCCACTGTAAAAAAAATTCCTGCACCTTTCCAAAAAACCCCGCAATGGTGGAAATTGCATATATGTGAACGTGACCCATAGGAACTAATGTTAAATGGACTGCAGCTCGTTTCTGCAAATGCACTGAAATATGCACACAATGATAGGTGTGAACCTAGCATAAAGGAGTATTAAACCCAAAAGCAAGCATTTATTATATTGCAGCTTGCCAATTCCTGGATGTGATGGCTGAACTAGTTTTCTTTTTTGGCTTTCTTTCTTCTACATTTCACCTGGTGATCCAACTAGTAAATCAAGGTGTCCTGCAGATGTAGCACTTTGAGGGTTGAGACAAATTATTTACCATTGGCAGGGGTGCTTATAATCAGCTTTTATTTATTTATGTAAAACCTTTATCCCAAAAAAGAACAAAACTGTAACTGTCAGTGGAAGTTTGTCTTCCCTTTGTTAGTGTATCTAAATCTTCAGGTATTCCCCAGACTGACAATGCTGCCATCCAAAGGTGCCCCCTGTGTTCCTTCATTCAGAGTGGGATCACGCTAATATAGGAGGTGTGTTACTGCCCAGATCACCATGTGAAAACCGAAGGGAAAAAAAAGCCAAAGGCTAGGTTCATACCTATGCAGTTTGTGTTTGATCTGTTTCCGCAGTGCTTTTTGCATTTGTGACGTGTTTTTGATGCATTTCAAGGTTTTTTTCTTGTTGCTAGACAGCTTAAAATGCAAAACGCAGCAAAAACAGCATAAACGCAGCAAAGACACACTACATTTTTTTCCGCAGCATCTCCATTGAAGTCTATAGAACCAAAAATGCAACTTTTTGCGTTTAAAAAAGTCCCTGAAAACGCACTGGGTGAGAACACGGAGATGTGAACGTGTCCCATAGGAAATCATGTTAAATGGACTGTAGTGCGTTTCTGCAAAACACTGTGGAAAACGCTTAGGTGTGAACCTAGACTAAAAAAGAAAACTAATGCAGCTACCACATCTAATGAATGGTAAGCTGCAATAGGTTCTAGTTTAAATTCACTTTACCATTGCCAAGAACTCAACAAGAGTAAAAAGCCAAAGTTGCCTCCAAATGAGCCAATGGCATGTAGCCAGCACCTAGCAGACATTTACATGTCAGCTCTTTGTGGGGAGTTTGTCTTCCATTGCAACAGTAAAGTGGTTTTAAACCAAAAGCAAACATTTATCAAATTGCAGCTTACCAATTCTTAGATATGGTGGCTACATTAGTTTTCTTTTTTAAGCTTTCAATCCTTTTTTTTTCATCTGGAGATCTGGTTGGTTGTTTTTTTCAACAGAACAAGCTCTCCTGCAATGTAGCAGTTAGAGGGGATGAGACAACCCATTTAACACTGACAGGAGTGCTTACAATGATTAGCTATTGTTTGTTCGTGTAAAACCTTTATGGCCAGTTCACACTATAGAAACGCAGTCCAGATGCGTTTTTGCATGCACGTTTTTTGATGAATTTTTTCCACGTGCCAGTGCAGTTTTTATGCATTCCCGTTCATTTTTTCCTCTCTCTTTTTCTTCAATTTAAATAGGGACATGTGTGTTCCAGTGCGTTTTTGGAGCATTCCAGTGCGTTCCAGTACATTTTTTATGCGCTTTACCACGTTCTAGTACAGTTCTGTGCTGAAAAAAATGCAACATGTTTTACTTTTTTTTTCTGCAACCAGAACACACTGCAACTGCAAGCACTGATGTGAACTATGACATTGACAACCATATAACCTACTTTCTGTGCAATTTGGATGCAGAAAAAAGCAACTGAAACACATGTGGTGTGAACTGGCCCTTAGCCCTAAAGGAAAAAAAAACCTGTTGATGTAACTGCAGTGTGAGCTAGAGTTTGGCGCCAATGTGTTAGTGTGTTTAAATCTGCTACTACATTTAACACTCCCTTCCTCTCCCAGACTGACAATGCTACTGTCCAAATCTGACCCCTGTGCTCATTCATCCAGAGTGGAGGCACTCTAATACAGGAGATGTGTTACTAGCCAGATCACCAGGTAAAAACAGAGGGACAAATGCCTAAAAAAAGAAAACTAATGCAGCCATCACATCTAATGATTAGTAAGCTGCAATAGATTACATTTTTGGTTTTGGGTTTAATACCATTTTAAGCTGGGCAGACTCAGCTTTATTTGGGTGAAGTTCCCATTGCTCTTTTGTATTTGTGACAGGTTCTCTTTAGATTGTTTCATTTGACAAATACTGGATGTGATTTCCCCGTGTATGGCGAGTATTTCCGTATGCACTTTTAAAAGGATGCTAATATAGGAATGCACAGCAGTATTTTCATGTAAATCGGATATGTTGTAGTTTAAGGTCATGCGTTGAAGAGTTGATTTGTAAGCCATAAATCTGGTGCTGTTTTTCCCCTGTCCCCCTTTTCTGGGAACTGACCCATAGGGAGACACTGCTTTGCGTCAACCTGTCTAGCCAGTTTATTTTTAATGAAGCGTCCAGTCATTAGGCGCTGGTATGTTATTAGTTAAAGAGGGAGTTAAAACAAGCCCTGAATTTCTGTATCCTTGCCTTGCAGCTAGGGAACCCTCGGAAAGTGAATGAAGCCACTTGTTTGGAAGGCAGCTGCGAAGCAGTAGAGTAAAACAGCACCAGATGAGCATTAATTCCACTGGGACTGGTTTATAAAGACTGGAGGGGATGAAGCATGGAGGGGGTGTCGCTCGCAGCCACCAATCAGGTTACAGCTGTCTGCTTCTACTCCAAAGGAGAAATATGTCTGCTGGAATTGGATTGGATAATGCCATCAACACCATCACTTCCCTGCAGTGTTTATAAATCCTTCCCCTATGCATTTTGCACACGTTATTCTTGACTAAGCCATGAATTACAGCATTACATGTAAGTGATCTGATATGAGGTACACCTGTCCCCTGTACACACATTTGGAACTGTTATCTCAAACACTGGCCTTACACATTGCAATCTAATCTCCTTAAATTTAAGAACATTTTCAAATATGAGGGCCTACCTAAACAAACTAATTACTGTTATTTATATATATATATATATATATATATATATATACATATATATACACACATATAATAGCTGTTCCTGCGTGTAACCTGCATGTAGATTCATTCTGTGTGAATGGGGCAAAATCGAATGTCCTCAGGCTACATTCACTGCAGATTGAATGTTAATGTGAATGGGGAGAATACTGCATTATGGCCACTAGATGGAGTAGAGGAGCATACTTATTTAATATGATACTAAGCTCCATCTAGTGGCCATAATGCAGTGTTTCCCCCTTTTGTTGAAAATAAAAGTTTGAATAGTGAAAGTACTGCATTATGGCCACTAGATGGAGCTGAGTATCATATTGAATAAGTATGCTCCTCTACTCCATCTAGTGGCCATAATGCAGTGTTTCCCCCTCTTTC